CTTATACATAAATATCAGTCATTGAGATTTCCAAGACTATAATGACATTTTGCTTCCCAAGCAAGTCAGAGTCTCAACACATCAGCCACCAGAATTTGGCTTATTGGAAAACTCTCACTGATAGAAAACAACATCAAACATGTTTCCAAAATATCCCAACTCTCTGAAGTGTTCACTACTTCTACAATCCACGTAAGAACTTCACGAGTGGCCAATTAAAAAAAATGCTCTGGAGATCTTTCTGCACCCAGGAAATAGTTTATCCTTAGTAAGAATGAAAGCAACTTAAAAGGAGCAATCATCTTCAATAGATTTATATCCTCTGCCACATATAAGAGAGCTTTGTTACATGTTCAAGAGGACAGGACACACCACAGACTGGGAAAACACATGGGTAAAAGGCATCTGTGATGAAGGACTATTACCCAAAATATACAAAGAATTCTTAAAACTCAACAGGAATACAAACAACACAATTAAAAAATGGGCAAAACAACCTAACATATGCTTCATCAAAGAAGATATATAGATGGCAAAAAAGCTTGAGAAGATGGTTAACATTCCATGTCATTGTGAATGCAAATTCAGACAAGAGTGAGATGTCAGTGCACACCAGCAGCAAGGGGAAAACCTAAACAGCTGACTGCACCAAATGCTGGCAACGTGTAAAGGAACAGGACCTCGCACTCATTGCTGGTACGAAGGGAAAATGGCTCAGCCACTTTGGAAGACAGTTTGGCAGACTGTCACAAAACTAAATATATTCTTACCATATGATCCAGTAATCATACTCCTCGGTATTTACCCAAAAATTTGAAAAATTATGTCCACACAAAAACCTGCTCGTGGATGTTTATAGCAGTTTTATTCATAATTGATAAAACTTGGAATCAACCATGATGTCCTTTGGTAGGAGAATGAATTAAAAAAAAAAACTGTGGTACATCCAGACAATGGAGTATTATTCAGCACTGAAAAGAAATGATCTGGGTTGGAGATGTAGCTCAGTGCTAGAGCTCTTGTCTAGCAAAAGAAAGACCCTGGGTTTGTTCCCCAGCACCATAAATGAATGAGTAAATAAATAAGAAAAAAGAAAAGAAATGAACTGTCAAGCCATGGAAAGACATGGAAGAACCTTAAATGTTCATTAAGTGAAGAGCCAATCTGAAAAGGCTAGTACTACATAATCCCAACTATACAACAGTCTGGAAAAGGCAAAACTCGGAGAATGTGGAAGAATGGTTTGTCAGGAGTTAGGGGACAAAAGGACAGCACAGAAGTTTTTTAGGGCAGCAAAACTACCCTGAATGATACTATGATGGTGGACATGCATCATCATAAATTTGTCCAAACCTGTAGGATGCTTACAGCCTCAAGAGTGAACCTGTGGGCTTTGGGTCATAATGAGGTGTCATTGTAGGCTATGGCTTGTAACCCATGCATCGTTTGGTGGAGGATGTGGATGGTAGGGGAAGCTGTGCACATCAGGGGTAAGGGGAAACTGGAACCTCTCTATACTTTTTGTTCAATTTTGCTGTGAACCTAAAATTGATCTAAAGACATTAAATTCTATTAAAATAGTATATGTTCAATAAACTTGATTTAATGAAAATATTTAATGAACAACTTGACTGTATGTGCAGTGATAAATTGTACATTTGGCAATTCCTAAGCCTCTACACCTTTAGTCATTATTCCAAGACTATAAAAGCTACAATGGAACTTAGCTCTAATATCCTGCTCAGGGAAAAACACCAGGGTCTATTTCCCATCCCCAGGTCAAATGATAAACCAGTATTTTGAGGTCATAGCAGAAGCTCAACCATAGCCAGCTCCAATTAGAGAGGCCACTGTGCACATCCATCATCCTGGAGGAGGGTCACAGAGGCTCTGGAAATCAGAAAGTAGTGTGTCTCCACTGGACGCAACCATGGAAATAGACCAAAGAACTTTCTGTAACCTTGGAAACGAAGCCAGACATATCATTTCAGCACCAAGGGCAGATTCCAAACAGCCGCAATGCTATGGAACGTCAGTCAGTGCCAATGTGGTCACGTGGGCTCTCGGTGCGCACTATTCGTGGGAGGGACGGCAGGAAAGTGCCCAGGAAAAGATCGGTACTTCTGGTGTGAAATTAAAGAAATCAGTGTGGGAGAGGCCTCATGCAAATTGTTTCTCTTCTGAAGCTTAGAAAGGTATTTCCACACCAGTCAGAAAGGCTCTATGCAACCACCGTGAGCTAAAAGACTAAAAGGAAAACAAGCCCGGAGGGAAAAGCATTTTTCTGTGCCTGGAGAGTTCTGAGGATGCTGGAGAATGTCACATGAAAAGATGCTCAGACAGCATACGCAGCAGGGCACGCACTGGAGCTGGGAGCTTCAGATTTGAAAAGAAAACAGGCAACTCCAGCCCCTTGCTGTAGCTCTGCGCAGAACTAAGCTTTCCACCTTGGCTTCTTTGGAAGGATCCAAAAGGTGTTTGGTCTAAACTGCCAACCCGTGCGGAAGCTCTCCCAAAACACTGGATAAACTGTTGTACTGCTTACAGGGACAGCCTTTGCTGTTTGCCCAAACCTCCCATTCCACCTTGAGTTGGTGTTTTAGGATATTTTTGCATATTGTTAGCAAAACCTGCCTCGTCTACTTCCCAAGTCCCGGATCACACCCTCCCTCTGGAACCAAAGAATGAGAATGACCCCTCTCCTCTTGGTGACCTTCAGCAAGTTCCCGCTCTCCTCTGGGCCTCAGTGTAACTGCTGAAATGAAAATGATAGCAGAGCCCACCTATGTGTGTTGGGGGGGGAATGTCAGCTCTGTGCCTGGCTTGTGAACACACTTCATAGATCCTTCTCTTTGACAGTGGCTGATTATCAGACTCCACCCTGACCCCTGACCCCTAACCTCTGACCTCCAGCAGGCTCAACTCCTGCTCTGCCCCAGATCACATGGTGCTCAGTCTAGCAATCTGGCTTTCTGGAATTGCATAACAGAAATACCTTTTTTTTTTTTTAAAGTTTACACATGCCCAACTTTGGCTGTACACCTAGGGAGCATTTGTGGAGACAAGTAAGCCACACATACCAACCGGGCAGTCACAGAGTATATTTGGGGCTCCCTTGGGGGACAGGAGTCCGGCATCTGAGCCTCAAAGCCAGGCCTCCTGGAGACCAGAGCTCAGTCCAGGAGCTGGGAGGTTGCTTAGGAGACAAGGCAGCTCTCACAACTGGGTTATAACAGTAAATAAAATTGCCATCTGTTTAGCTCTTAATATGGGCCAGGCACTGTGCCAAACATTTTACAAGTGTTAGCTATCTTCTTTTTAAAACTGTTTAAATTGTGGAATAAAATACTGTTGGATTAAAGTGTTCAAAACAAATGTACAGTATAATGAACAATCACAAAGAAAATACTTATGTGTAAACTACCTCCTTGGTCAAGAAACAGAAAGACCCCAAGCACAGCAGAGTCCAGGTTTGGGGAAAGGGGTGGTCCCTGTAAGCCTCATGCCCTCCCTCTGGAGGCACCACTGCTCTGACTTTTGTGATAATGTCTCACCTGCCTTTCACTTATAGTCTTCTCAACATGCAGTGTACAATAGAAGCTATAGTTTGTAGTTTTGCTTTGCTTATTTTTGATTCTAAAGTAAAATTAGGTGCTATGCATTATTTACTTTCAACATTGTGCTTATAATATGTATTTACGTCTTTCCCTATAGCATAGTTCACTCCTTCTCAGTGCTGCATCGTACTCCGTGGTGTGATGAATATATCAGGACCTATTTATTCCTTCTACAGTTGATGGATAGATTGCGTTATTTCTAGCATGATGCAATCACAGACAATAAATCGCATATATGCTGTGTGAATAATCTAGTGTACATGAGAAATCCCTCTTTGATGCCCTTTCCTAAGAGAATTGTTTAGTTGTGCAATGTGCATGTTTTCAGTTCTATTAGATAATGTCAAAGTGTTTTCCAAAACGGTCACCCTCATCTACACTCCTGTTGCTTTACCTCATCAGCAGCTGGCATTGCCAGATTTTGCAAATCTGATGAATGTGAGTAGCATTTAATTGTAGTTTTAATGCTTGGTTTTTGAACCTTAAATATATTAAATTATATTTCCTGCATTCATCTCTGTTTTGCTTCTTTTGCTCTACATTGCTTTTGTGGGATTCATCCATGTGGGTGCTTGTGGATCTCGCTGTATTTCATTTGTTAACGAGGTTGATCATATTTTCATTATTTTGCTATGCAATATCCTCTTTTGTTAAGTGTTCGCTTTTTTTTTTTTGCCTGTTTTTCTGTTGAGTTGGCTGCCTTTTTCTTACTGAAAAACTGTAAGAAACAGTTGAAAAACTGTAGGGAAGTTTTTCAACTTTTAATTCTGGATACCAATTCTCTAGTGGGTTTTGTGTTATGAATTTTTCCCATTCTTATGCAAGTATCTCTTTAATCCTCACAATGTCCCAAAGATATAAACATAAGCATAACTATTAGATGTGTAAGAAAAGAATAATTTTAGAGGAATTCAGTGACTTGCCTAAAGTGCCCAGCTAGTCAGCATCAGGGCTGGGAAGCCCAGTGCTCACCCATCAGCCACTCTGGAATGGAGGCCCCCTGCCCTCTCCTGTGCCTCCTGGTCCTTCAGTCCCCCACCAGCAGTCCTACCAGCGGTTGGCTCTCATCTTCCACTTGGGCACACTTGAGACTTCATTTCCCTCCTCCCCTCGGGCAACCCTGCTTGTGCCCCCGTGCCTCATGCCGTGCCTCACTTGTATTCTCCTCCAACCCCCACAAAGGCCACACCGGCTCCGGGTAACCCTGTCCACCTCACAGGCTCTGTCATGGCCATGGCTCAGGGACTGTCCAGGGGAGTGGGCTATGGGCGGGGTGGCAGAGTCCCTTGGTCAGCGTATCTTGAAAGGGCCACAGGTTGAGCACACCCCAGCTGCTCCCAAAGCTGGTCTCTCTGGAGCTTCACCTTTCAGGCCAAGCCTCACCTGTTCCTTTGACCACTTGTGGTTCCAGCGACGGCAACTCCTCCATCCAGCTCTCCACCCTCTTCCTCATGCCCTGCTCAAGCATCAGCTCCCACTCAGCCCTGGCTAAGCAGCCCTCCAGGGCTGAGCTACTGCTCTCCATGACAAGCCTGCATCTTGTCCAGCCATCACCACCTCCCACCTCACTCCCAAGATAGCCACCCATGCACTCTGCACCGCCACTAACCCTTCTTCCCAGCCCTTTCTCTGCACAGCAGCCACAGAGTCTGTGAGAAATGCCAACCTGATGGCGCCAGATGGTTTGAAACGTTTCATCATTTCTTCCTTCTCTTGGAATAAAACCAAAGCCTTTAAGATGTACCACCAGGTCCTGTGTGGTTTGGGCCCTGCCTCCCTTTTCATTACTGCCTTGCTCTCTGCTCCTGGGTAGTTTGCTCAGTCCTACTGCAATGCAGTGAGTTCTCTCTCAACCACAGGGTCTTCGCATTGGCTGTCAGCACTGCCTAGATGGCCAGCCATCTTCACTATTCCAGAGCTCAGTGGTTTTGGCCTTTTTGACGAGGTCACCTGTTGTACACCTGGTTAATGGTTACTGCAATTGAGGTCAAAATGGTTCATTTAACCAACAAGAAGATATTGTTGTCTCCTATCCATCAGACAGGAAAGGAATAAAATTATTGATAACATCTGGTGTTGTCAAGGCTGCAAGAAAACACGTCCTCTCCTGCACACTGTGTTCAAGTATAGCCTAAATAGAAAATCCGGCAGTATCCACTGCTTATACTGTTCATACCATCAGACACAGCATTTCTGCCTGACTTCAACCTTCAGGAATACACCCCCAGGCTATGTAAAAAGATAATGCGGAGTGATTGTCTCTGTGGCACTGATTACGATAGTGAAAAATGGAAATGACATCCATCTCGACCAATAGGACACTGTCGCACATTCATAGCATGGGAGCATTATTCAGCCATTAAAAATGAAAATGAAACCAACTTCTTTGAATTCATGTGGGAGTATATCCAAAATATTTTAAACTAGAAGAAAGGTCAGAAGGGCATGATCCCATTTTTAATGCTTTTAAACTATACTTTTAAAAGTTGAAGAAACACAAAAACCTGCTGACAGTGACTGTCTCTGGGGTGGGAGTGTGAGCTCAGGGGGCATTTTTCTTTTCGGTTATATACTCCTGTATTGTTTGATTTTGCTGTTTTATTACTATAAAACAATTTTATAGTCTGGAAAAAAGATACCTACGCAATTAAGCCTGCCTCGTCTCTCTACAGTGCAGTTGGGGAGGTCAGCTGTCTCTGTCCTAGTCACTCTTACTTCCCCAGAGTCATCAGCGCCAGGCGCACCACAGGTGCTCATTGAACATTTATCAGTGGAATGAGTGAATGAGGTGCTTACCACCCAGTGGGCACCCCTTGGCCACCTCCTGCCGTGGTAGCTGGGCCCCGAACTTAAGGTGGCCGTGTGCATCACCTTTCTCAGCAGTCCCTCATACTCTGGGAGCACACTCAGGTTGGCTTCCCCTTCCTCACTCAGGCAAGTAATTGTGTTAAATCCCAAGTCAGGGCCTCACATTTTGTCCTTGTTGAATTTTGTCTTTAGGGTTTTGGGTTTTGGTCACACCAGTCATGGTACTTTCAAGCCCAACCTCTGACTCTAACCAAATACCAGTCCTACCTGCATTATGTCAGCCACACACTGATTAATATGATATATGTTACCTCCAACTTAGTCACAAGAGAGGACCTAGGGCAGACTTGCAGCCTTCCCTGAGAGCCGACTCTCCACACTGACCTGGAGGAATCCAGCCCTTCTGCTCACGTCTCAGCACCCATCCCACCTCAGGGCCTTTGCACTTGCCACTCGCTGCCCTTGGAGAGCTCTTTCTCCAGGTGGTAACTCCCTCTGGACATTTAGGATTCAGCGCTAAGGATTGCTCATCAGAAAGGCCTTCCGACTACCCATCCAGAGTGATGCCCCCAACACACTTTGCCCAGATTCTTTCTCTTTAAAGCATTTATCAATAACTAACTTGATAGTTACTAAAGTTACGTTACTTGTATTTTTATTTACCTGTTACCTGCACCCCTTCCCTTCCCCAGAGTGGACAATGTCCATGACTCCTGGGCCTTACACATTGCCATACGTATTTCCCGAGTGAATGCATAGACAAGAATTGATTAAATATCCCTGACTCCATCACCCGCATTGCCTTCTCGACCCAGGCTTCCATTTGACCTGCAAGATGGCCTCGGAGCTACTGTAACAAATAACCACAGATTTGGAGGCTTTGAGCAACATAAGTTTATTCTCTGACAGTTCTGGAGGTCAGAAGTCCAACATCGATTTCACTGGGCCAAAATCAAAGTCACACTCTCATCAGAGACTCCAGTGGGAGACTATGCTCCTTGCCTATTTAGCTCCTGATGGCTGCCAGTGCTCCTTGGCTTGTGGCTGTCTTCCATCTTCAAGGTCAGCATCTTCTAATCTTTCTGGGCTCCATTATTATGCCTCCTCTTCTTCTTTGTGTGCCATCATAAAAGCTCCCTCAGCCTCGCTCTTTATGTCAGGTTATATACAATGGCATCATTGTTCAACTGGATAAGGCAGGACCATCTGTCCAACCCAAGACCCTTCATTTAATCCCTCTGCCAAGACTTCGCCATATAGTGCAACATTCATCAGTCTCCGGACTAGGACCCGATATCCTCAGGGGCCACCATTCGGCCTCCTATAGATGTCAGTGACTTTGCGAAATGCCTCTGTAAATTGGAGATATGTCCAGAATTTCTCATGAAGGAGAGCTTGGCAAACACTCCTGGACTGAGGATGTGCACAGATGTCGTGCTCCACTACCACTGTCAACCCAGACCTCAAAACCAGAAAAGAGTGGGGCTATAATTCCTTTAATATAACCAGCTTCCCCGACTCCCAGGCCCTTAAGACTCCCCAGGGGTTGGGGTGATAGGAAGCTCTTCATTGTGGTGGCCATCTGACTTGTGCCAACAGTGCTGGGAGGGCAGCGACTTACCTCACTCGTATTCTCTTCTCTCCTGTCCAGCAGGCTGAGGATGGTTGCACTGGGCCTCAATTAGTTCTTTGGCTTCTGTGATAGTGAATAGGAGGGTAGGGAGAGGGAGACCAAAATTCGTGCATCTTCCCCCAATTGAGGGGACCCCTGGAGCTGTCATATAGAAATGTAGCATCTGGCAGGGGTAGGGGGGTGGGTCCTAAACTCAGTGGGGTCATTCCACAGCAAGAGCTATCTTCAACCCCATCTGTTCCTGAGGTCGCACCCAGGCTGGGTCCCCGAGTCCCCACTGCCCAGCAGCTGGGGAAGTTCCAGAAGCTTGAGTGCAGAGGCAGATGGCCCCATCTCAGCACCATGGAGGTGGTGGCTGTGCTCCCTCCCCCTGTGAACACCCAGAGGCCCACGCAGGTGCAGCAGAGGCCCCAGGAGCAAGCCAGATGCTCAGGCTATGTTTGAAGACAAAGAGAGAGTCTTTGGGTCTCCCATGTGGCTCACCCTGGCCCAGCAGAGTCAGAGCCCAGACGCAAGCTTGCCCACAGTGCTCAGACCTAGAATGGGCTGTGCGTGGGCCTGGCTTGCCCCTGTGACTCTGCCACAAGACCGGAAGCACCATTCCCAGAAACACTGTTGGTTTTGGGGAGCTACAACAGGCTGTGGTTTTCTTTTTTTCCCCCTCCCTCCTTCTCTCCCTTACGTATTTCTTTAATTTGATTATGTCTTAAGACTCTTGAGTTGGTGTCACTGTTCTTTTTTTTTTTTTTTGAGAACACATCAGTGCAATTATAAGGCATATCAATGGGACAATATGATTCACTCTGCACCAAATCTAAACAAACTGGTCCCTTCCAGCTCCCATGATGGCTGTCCACAAAGCGAGGCACCCACATTTTGTGGCTGAGAAAAATGCATGTCACCAGTTCTTACTTGCACTGACTTCTCTGTGGATTTGCAAAGTGACTAAACCTCTTCCAAGACATTTCCTGGACCAGAGAAATAGAAACAAAACCTCATTCATCTATGATGCCCATGCCATCAAGCATGGAATAGGAGCTCAAGGTGTTTGAGAGCATCATATGAGAAAGCTTCACAGGTTAATTTTGATGAAAACCTGGTCCTAGGGCTGGTAGAGTGGCTCAGGTGGTAAGAGTGCCTGCCTAGCAAGTGTGAGGCCCTGAGTTCAAACCCCAGAACCACAAAATAAAATAGAAAACCTGGTCCTTTAAGAAAACATAACTCCATAAAGGAAAGGGCTCTGAATCCACACATCCACATGCACACACAGAAATCTACTATAAATAAAGTTAAAAGACAAATAGCAACTTAAAAATAAACCCTGTAAGCTATAAAGAGTCGTTTTATTTAATATATAAATAGCTTTTACTATTCAATGAGAAAAAGATGAACACTCCAACAGAAAAGTAGGCAATTTATATTAAAAAAACCAAAAAACAAAGATACCACTGAAAATAACCAGATGAAATTCTTTCCCCAGACTGAAAGATGAAAAAGAATGGTAGATACCACACAGATGAAGTCATGGGGAAATGGGAATTCTCACACACTCCAGAGATGTGTGCAATTACTTGCATCTATAGTAAAGCATCTTATACAAATCAACATAGATGTGAAAAAAAGATTTAGCTATACAAAACTTCCATCACAGCATTGTTAATAATTTATTTAAAAATCAAAACTTAAATGCACACAGTTGAGGATTAAATGTATTATATATTAAGTACAAACATTCACTATAATCTTACGTGGTCATTAAAAGTGATAATTAAAGAGTGATTATATTGATAAATCTAAATTAACTGTGTTATTATACAGTTCTAAATACATAGTATTAGGTAGTATGTTTATATCCATATCTACATATGTAGATATGAAATGCCACTCCAAGTGGCTTGGTTTGCAGGATGGAGATCTAAAACTGTATAAATATATGACAGATAGATACATAATGTGTAAATAGCAATACCTAGATATATATGCATATAAATCATAATACTAACACTTATTCCTAGGTTTATGATCACTTTTACTTATGACTTTTTCCTTCAGAATTTTTTTGCAATGATTGCTTCATGCAAGGGAAAAAATACAAGCATTTCCAAAAGACAGTGTGCAGGTGTGGGCAAAGACCCTGGAAGCTGGGAACATCCTTTTTGTCACCGAGGATTCACAGACTAAACAAAAAAGTCCAAGGAGCATCACTTACAATTAGAGTAACCATACAATTTATCATCCAAACCAGGACACTTCTGAGTCTGAAATGAAAGCTATTAATAATTTTGCTGGTATGACCAGTGCTGCCTGGCACTCCTCAGCAACCCAGCCATTTGGTCAGCCTAATTAAAGTGAAAGTTCTGCCTGCCCTGTCTCTGAAATAACCAGTGTGAGGTGTCAGATCTTCCCATTACTACAACTGGGTGTAGTTTCTAAACATCCCAATCAAATGGCTAAAGAATCTTAAAAAGTTCATCTTTGTCACCTTATTAGCTTATTTGGATCAATAGAACCCTAATTTTAAAGACCTGTTCTTCTTTTTTTTTTTTTTCATTCATATGTGCATACAAGGCTTGGGTCATTTCTCCCCCCTGCCCCCACCCCCTCCCTTACCACCCACTCCCCCCCTCCCTCTCCCACCACCCCCTCACTACCTAGCAGAAACTATTTTGCCCTTATTTCTAATTTTGTTGTAGAGAGAGTATAAGCAATAATAGGAAGGAACAAGTGTTTTTGCTGGTTGAGATAAAGATAGCTATACAGGGAGTTGACTCACATTAATTTCCTGTGTGTGTGTGTTACCTTCTAGGTTAATTCTTCTTGAACTAACCTTTTCTCTAGTACCTGTTCCCCTTTTCCTATTGGCCTCAGTTGCTTTTAAGGTATCTGCTTTAGTTTCTCTGTGTTGAGGGCAACAAATGCTAGCTAATTTTTTAGGTGTCTTACCTATCTTCACCCCTCCCTTGTGTGCTCTCACTTTTATCATGTGCTCAAAGTCCAATCCCATTGTTGTGTTTGCCCTTGATCTAATGTCCACATATGAGGGAGAACATACGATTTTTGATCTTTTGGGCCAGACTAACCTCACTCAGAATGATGTTCTCCAATTCCATCCATTTACCAGTGATGCATAAAATTCATGGCTGCATAAAATTCCATTGTGTAGAGATACCACATTTTCTTAATCCATTCGTCAGTGGTGGGGCATCTTGGCTGTTTCCATAACTTGGCTATTGTGAATAGTGCTGCAATAAACATGGGTGTGCCGGTGCCTCTGGAGTAACCTGTGTCACAGTCTTTTGGGTATATCCCCAAGAGTGGTATTGCTGGATCAAATGGTAGATCAATGTTTAGCTTTTTAAGTAGCCTCCAAATTTTTTTCCAGAGTGGTTGTACTAGTTTACATTCCCACCAACAGTGTAAGAGGGTTCCTTTTTCCCTGCATCCTCGCCAACACCTGTTGTTCGTGGTGTTGCTAATGATGGCTAGTCTAACAGGGGTGAGGTGGAATCTTAGTGTGGTTTTATTTTGCATTTCCTTTATTGCTAGAGATGGTGAGCATTTTTTCATGTTTTTTGGCCATTTGAATTTCTTCTTTTGAGAAAGTTCTGTTTAGTTCACTTGCCCATTTCTTTATTGGTTCATTAGTTTTAGGAGAATTTAGTTTTTTAAGTTCCCTATATATTCTGGTTATCAGTCCTTTGTCTGATGTGTAGCTGGCAAATATGTTCTCCCACTCTGTGGGTGTTCTCTTCAGTTTAGAGACCATTTCTTTTCATGAACAGAAGCTTTTTAGTTTTATGAGGTCCCATTTATCTATGCTATCTCTTAGTTGCTGTGCTGCTGGGGTTTCATTGAGAAAGTTCTTACCTATACCTACTAACTCCAGAGTATTTCCTACTCTTTCCTGTATCAACTTTAGAGTTTGTGGTCTGATATTAAGATCCTTGATCCATTTTGAGTTAATCTTGGTATAGGGTGATATACATGGATCTAGTTTCAGTTTTTTGCAGACTGCTAACCAGTTTTCCCAGCAGTTTTTGTTGAAGAGGCTGCTTTTTCTCCATCATATATTTTTAGCTCCTTTGTCAAAGACAAGTTGGTTATAGTTGTGTGGCTTCATATCTGGGTCCTCTATTCTGTTCCACTGGTCTTCATGTCTGTTTTTGTGCCAGTACCATGCTGTTTTTATCGTTATTGCTTTGTAATATAGTTTGAAGTCAGGTATCGTGATACCTCCTGCATTGTTCTTTTGACTGAGTATTGCCTTGGCTATTCCTGGCTTCCTGTGTTTCCATGTAAATTTCACGGTAGATTTTTCAATCTCTTTAATGAATGTCATTGGAATTTTGATGGGAATTGCATTAAACATGTAGATTACTTTTGGGAGTATAGACATTTTTACTATGTTGATTCTACCAATCCATGAGCATGGGAGATCTCTCCACTTTCTATAGTCTTCCTCAATCTCTTTCTTCAGAAGTTTATAGTTTTCCTTGTAGAGGTCTTTCACATCTTTTGTTAGGTTTACACCTAGGTATTTGATTTTTTTTTTGAGGCAATTGTAAATGGAATTGTTTTCATACACTCTTTTTCAGTTTGCTCAGTTAGTGTATAGAAATGCTAATGATTTTTCTATGTTGATTTTATATCCTGCTACCTTGCTATAGCTATTGGTGATGTTTAGAAGCTTCTGAGTAGTTTTTTGGGTCTTTAAGGTATAGGATCATGTAGTCCGCAAACAGGGATATTTTGACAGTTTCTTTACCTATTTGGATTCCTTTTATTCCTTCTTCTGGCCTAATTGTTCTGGCTAGGAATTCCAGTACTATGTTGAATAGGAGTGGAGATAGTGGGCATCCTTGTCTGGTTCCTGATTTTAGAGGGAATGGTTTCAGTTTTTCTCCGTTAAGTATAATGCTGGCTGTAGGTTCATCATATATAGCTTTTATAATGTTGAGGTACTTTCCTTCTATTCCTAGTTTTCTTAGAGCTTTTATCATGAAATGGTGTTGGATCTTATCAAAGGCTTTTTCTGCATCTATTGAGATGATCAAGTGGTTTTTGTCTTTGCTTCTGTTAATGTGGTTTATTACATTTATTGATTTTCATATGTTGAACCACCCCTGCATCTCTGGGATGGTTTTTTTTTTGTTTTGTTTTTTGGTGGCACTGGGGTTTGAACTCAGGGATTTACACTTGCTAGGCAGGTGCTCTACCACTTGAGCCACTCCACCAGGCCTGCATCCCTGGGATGAAGCCTACTTGGTCATGGTGAATAATCTTTTTGATGTATTGTTGAATTCGGTTTGCCATTATTTTGTTGAGGATTTTTGCGTCAATGTTCATTAAGGAGATTGGCCTATAGTTCTCCTTTTAGGAGGTGTCTTTGCCTGGTTTTGGGATAAGTGTAATACTGGCTTCATAAAATGTGTTTGGCAGTTTTCCTTCCCTTTCTATTTCATGGAACAGTTTAAGGAGGGTTGGTATCAGTTCTTCTTTAAAGGTAAAGAGCTGTTCTTGATAAAAAGTATTTATCAGGGAATATAGCGTTTGACAGCTGTTATCTCACACTGTAGACTGTAATCTTGGAAACACTGTGTTACTGTCTTAAACTCCTCTCGATTTTATACTCCCCCATCCCAGGACTTACCTGTGGTCCACTAAGGGTTTTGCTTTGGGGAACTGTTATCTCCATGACAGGCACTAACTTAAGATGCCCACAGCCCCATCCATCTACTTGCACTGGGTCACTCTGCCCACCAGCTGTTTATATCCTCTTAGCCTGTCAGCCAGCTCAGGTTTCTCTCTCCCAAGTCATAGCTGCCCACCATGGCTACCTGTCCTGCTCAGCATCCTGTGGCATTTATTATCTTCACATCAGATTAGCACATGCTCACAGGCTAGCCTCTTCTCCATTTTTTGATTGCATGTACAGCTACCTCAACCTAAATGTTGAGCTACTAAGAGAAACAGCTGCTCTCAGTCCATACCACCAGGCACCTGGCATGTGGCCAGGTAAGGCTAAATCTTTCAACCTATCCTTGTTTTTCTTTTTTAATGGTACTGGAGTTTGAATGCAGGGCATAGAGCTTGCTAGGCAGGTAGCTTTACCACTTGACACACAACTCTAGTCCTTTGTGCTCTGGTTATTTTTGAGATAGGGTCTTGCTTTTTGCCCAGGCTGGTCTGGACCTTGATCCTGCTATTTATGCTTCCCAAGATAGCTGGGATGACAGTGTACACCATCATGCCCAGCCTTTTCTATTGAAATGGGAGCTTTCAAACTTTTTGCCTGGGCTGGCCTGGAACCAAGATCCTCCTAATTTCTGTTTCCAATAGCTAGATTATAGACGTGAGCCACCAGTGCCCAGCATCTGCCAATCTCTCTTATTCTGATTATAAAATGAGGGTTGTAATTGCTTTATATACTCCACCCCAACCCAGGTGGGGAAACTACTAGGGATAATAGAAAAATTGTCTTATTTAATGCCATTTCTTAAATGCAAGGATATTTTCATAAATGGAAAAAATGAAGATCTTACTGGAAGCAATCGCCAAGGCGTTTCTCCTCCAAACACCATGAGTGGACTCACCCCAAGGATTCGGACCAAAGTCAGAACACAGCATTGGGAGGCAGTGACCCATGTGCTAAAGAGGGCTGCATCGGCACAAAGGCTAAAAGCTTGGACGGGCTATGTCAACACTTGCAATGCTATGGATCCCACCTTACAACACAGTTTTACATGCATTTTGCTTCTCTGAGTATCAAAAGAGCCCTCGTGGAGCTCATCAGCTGATCAATTCTCCAACATTTACCATCCTCCACCCCCTCCTCTACCCACCTAAGAGTCCAGCACCTGCCATTACTTGGCATTGATCACAGCCTGAACAACACACATTGCTCAATCAATCCTGGGTCAATCTATAATTGAAACGATACTCTTTGCACCTCCCCACTGCCAAGTTTATTAAACCGATACACATGTCAATGTCTCTTTCTCCTAGCCAAGCTTAGGGTGGCTTAAGCCCCAGCTGAGGTGTAAACACCAAAATTAGACACCAAAGCCTTTGTCTTCATTTTTCATGCAGGAGGGACTTCTTGGGAAATCTGCTGACTCAAGTGCATTCCTGGTAACCTGCATCACTCCACGAGGCAGGTTAACGTGCAATCACACCATGGTCAGCAAGGGAGGGCAAGACCTCTTCAAGCAAAGAGTAGACCTCCCAATTGAGCTGGTCGCACATAGAAAGAGTTGTCAATATCGCCACTTCTTCTGCTGGTGCACCTAGCCCCATTGTTAGCATGACAAAAAGCACACCTTCTTCAAGAAACTTTGTACCAACCTGTTAGAAAATAGCCCCTATATTCCTGATTTTGTAAGAATAAGCCACTTCACCCTATCTGCCAGGCAAATCAGCACAATATGTCTGTGATGTCTGCGATATGAATAGTAATCCCTTAGAAGTGGCACAGTTGTGCAGTGCACAATTTATGCAGCAGTTCTAGCCAGGTGTTTGATAACTTGGGAATATAAGAAACCAGCTACTCCAGAGATGCAGGATCAAAGGCCAGGCCAGCCTAGGGCAAAAACACAAGATGCTATCAGAAAAAATAACTAAAGCTAAAAAGAGTTGTGGGCGTGGCTCAAGTGGTACAGCACTTGCTTTGCAGGTGTGAGGCCCTGAGTTCAAACCCTAGTACTGCCAAAAAAGAAAAAGAAGGAAGGAAGGAAGGAAATGAAGGAATAAGGGAGCGGGGGAGGGAGGGAGGGAGGGAGGAGCTGGTGCCTTGTTTGCCCTCCCCTGTGAGCCTCAATTTCACCACCTGAAAGCTGGGAATAATAAGAGCTATCTGGCATGGACGTCTTGGCCCTAATGAGCCATCCCTCCCACTGGAGGAGAAAGGCACCATTCTGTAAAAGATGCAGACAAGAAGAGGCTACAGAACATGCTTGTCACATAGTAACTACATTCACAAGTAGAGAGCTCACATTCTCCTTGATTCCACAAATGTCATTTATCCACTCACATATTTGGGTCTTCAAATACTGAAAGTGAAAAGGCCTTGGGTTTTTCTAGTAGCAATGCTGGGTCTCACCCCGCTCTTGCTAGGATTCTGTGTGATCGGAGAAGCCGCAGTAGCAAAGCATTTGACAAGGGTGAGCCATCCAGGACCTGAAAATGAGAGGAGGAAAACCTGGTATTACCTCGCCTTTCGTGGGGTTCTCCACCTCACCGCCATCTGCACGGACACGATAAGCCTTTGCTGAGGGACGCTGTCCGTGGATCTCACTGCGGGATGCTCGCCTGCCTTCCACGCGCTGACGTCAGCAGTACCCTCACGCGCGCAGGACAACCAAGCTTGTCTCCAAGCTGCCACACAGCCTCTGGGGAGGGGAGGGATGGCAAACTGGCCCTGGGTGAGCAACATGGCCCACGCGGGAGCTGAAGTGCCTGGGCCCCGAGTCGCTCTTGAAGGAGCAAGCTGACCTCCAAGCAAAGGACACCTGGACCTTAAGCTCCGCTGTGACCTTAAAGATTCCAGGCTTCTGTTTCCTGTCACTTAAGTAAAACCCAAACCCTGGCAGGACACCCTGCTTTGGGAAGTACTGAAGTGAGGAAAAGCTATCAAGAAGAGCTGGTGGCTGCCTGAGGCCTCACAGCCTGGTTTCCACCTTCCTGGGTACACGGCCACCTCAGAGGTCCTCCAACTTCTCCCTTCCCTTGAATAATGGTGCTGTCACCACATGGTGCTGGCATGAAGAAAAAGGAGACACTTCCAGCCTTCTTACTGTGGCTCCCATGTAAGAGCAAAGCCTTAACTATGGCCAGGCCATTTCATTAAAAGTTTGGGTCAAGTAAAAGAAATGACAACACAGAACAACGGGATACTGATTCAAAGGACTCAGAGCCACACCAAGAACCTCCCAGACAGGTCCCCTCTCTGCTGCTGCCCGGCCTGGCCCTTAGCCTCAGAGTCGGTCCACCTGCCTCTCTCCTCTCCCTAAGGAGACCTCCAGCCCTGTCCTCTCTTGGAGGCCTGAGGGTTCAAGCTACCAACCCAGGCCTACTTCTCTCCTCCAGCCTTCACGCTCCTGGCACCATATTCTCCCTCCGGGGATGACTGACAGACTGGAGTGGTCAAATCAGTCGGCAGAATTCCAGCCACCACCCACAGGGGTTGGCATTTTTAGAAACTCAGGAGACAATGGATTTCCCAAGTTTGAGGTGCTCGGTTTCAGAAATTGCCTCGAGGGAAGCTTCATTAAGATCCAAACTGGAGGACTGAAGGAGGGGCTCAGGTGGTAGAGCGCCCACCTAGCAAGTATGAGGCCTTAAGTTCAGACTCCAGTTATCACCAAAAGAAAGAAGAAAAGACAAAGAAAAAAGATCCAAGCTGGTTGTGGCCAGTGGGCCCAACTTCCTGACTTTGTGGTACCATTGGGCACAAAGAGAAGCTGGATTTTCAGCAATCTTCCTGACAGGGCAGATCTCTATTGTGAGATGTCCTGTGACAAATCCTGAACACTGTCACATGTAACACACTGCTCAGGACTAACAACCACAGTTTTGGAGCTAGAATTTTCTGAATCCATGATGGGACAGAACATTTTTTTCCTAATAGACAGGAAAGCATATTTTAAAACAAGAATAATTAAGACAGTGTGGAATTGGTACAGGGAAAAACCAGCTCAAACAACGGAACGGAGAAGAGAGCTCGTGACATCCTGTGTATACATCCTGTGAGTAGCAGGTCTGTGACAGGGAGAGACAGCTCAGTGTGCGGATGCAGGTGACGGGACACTGGAGAAAGAGCCAAAGTTAACTTTTTATCTCACAAAACCTGGAGATCTAAAGGTAAAACAAAAACCATGAAGCATAAAGAGAAAATATCTTTTGACTGTGAGGAACAGGAAGTCTTTGTAAGCAAAATACAAAGTGAAAGGTCTCAAGGAAAGTCTGACACATCCCACTGCATCCAAATTGGAGGAAAACGTGTATGGAAAAGATGCCATAAATAAGATTAATAAAAGAAAAACAACAAGCTGGAAAATGACACGGTTTTCAAACAAAAGACCTAAATCTAGGATGTATGGAAGATTCCTAAGAATCAACACAGAGATTTAAAAATACCAATAATGGGTCATCAAAAGATATAACAATTTACAGAGTGAGGAAGACATTCAAAAACACCCTAGAAACAAGACAAATACAAATTAAATAAGATACGCTTTACTCATAACATTGGCAAAAGTTAACATGTTTCAGAATGTTGAACACTAGGGTGTGAAGGAAAGGGCACCCCAGTGCTAGTGGGTGTATAAATTCATCAGCTACTTTATAAGACAATTTGGCAGAACAATTACAATAGAAAATGCACACACCCAGCAGTTCTACTCTCACGTGTGCCCACAAAGCATTTTAAGTTTTTAATAAGACTATAAACTTAAAAGTCCATCAATAAGATAACAGACAAATAGACTCTAGATCATGCTGTGGAATACTATGCAGAAGTTAAAAAGAATAAGGCATTCCACATGTAATGACATTGTGTATATGAAAAAACAAAAGTTGAACAATATCCACAAAATGAAATTATTCACATTTTACAGACACACACACACACACACACATACACACTGCAGTATTATCTACAGTTAAGGTAGTAAATACAGAAAATGGCATGAAAAAATGCCTTTGCAGCTGGGTGCTTGTGGCTCAAGCCACAAAAAACCGCCTTAGGACCTAGAGACAGGTGAGTGACCATGTTAGAAGAAAACATTCAGAGGGAATTTCCCCAATCTCTATTGTTTTACTACCTCAAGAGGAAGACCTGGTCCTGTATGATTTTTAGAATTCAATATTAAGTTTCTTTTGCAAAAGAAAAGAAATTTTCCTAGGACACCAATATTTGGAAGACCCCATTCTGCTTACTAGTGAGATAACTTGATACCATCATACAAAGACAGCTTTGTCCCCAACCAGATAGACTTTGCAGATCCTGTGCATAAGAAAAGGTCTAACAGTCTGTCCTGCAAGAAGGGATATTACCCTACCGTGATGTGCATGTCAAGGTGAAGTTTGGGGCAGAAATTTCAGACAGAGGTCTCTACATCATTGCCACAGGGCAGCAGCTCTGTGCAAAGGGAAGGGAAGCGCTTCAGCTTCCTTTCTGAGCAAAAGAATGTCTATCAGAAGCTACGACATGTGCCACTCCTGGCATGAGAGTACCACCTGCTTCCAACTGGCAGCTGCTGTCTACAGTCCTAACATATCATCACTAAAGAAATAATCACAGGAAACATGTATGTGGCCTGCCACATACCAGGCCTTGTGTGGGGGCTCTATACCCAGCATCTCACCCAATCCTCACAAGAATCTCAAGAGAGGAACCTTAGCACCCATTTAACAGATGAAGAAACTGAGGTTCAGATGGATTAAGGAAGGATTTCAAGCAAGGGCCCAAAAGGTGATTGCAATTTACAACTGCAATCTCAAACCTGCTTCCTGGTCTCCGCCCTGCACTGCCTCCCCAACTACATTAAATGGCGAGTTTGCTGGACTAGGTGGGCTTTACTACGATTAATATGTGCACACTAATGCTAAATTTATTTATATTTAGGTAAAAGACCAGAGGCTCCCACTCTTCCTGTCGAACCCTTGTGAACAGGCAGAGGCTGAGAATGGGGCTGAATCTGCCACATTTGGGGAACAGGGAGGCCTCTGCCTCCTGGCACATCAGAGTGGTTCCAGGGAGCCCCAGAGACCACAGTCAGAGACGACTCTGCAGGGAGTGAGACTCCCATTGCAGCTTTCTGCCCCAGCCAGAGTGGAAAGTTTTTGTAGTTTTATTTATTAACACAGTCCATGTTTGTCCAGACCTGCACATGGCTGGGGCCCTGGTGCAGTCGGTCAGCAAAGACCTGGAACTCCTCTCTTTCCCACTCCTGCTGCTACTGGGGTCTTTTATCCCAGTCCTGTTTCCAATCCATCTGCATAGGAGGGGCAGGGAAGAGGCGGGAAGATGTCTGGCAAGCAAGGTAGAAGGCACACCTGCCCTCCAGATGCCACAGCTTTTAGAAAGAGCAACAACTTATGCAACAAATTTCCCCCAAATTACAACTCTCAGGGAGAGTGGGTTAGGGAAATAAATCTAGAGAGAAGAGTGGCAGATGGGATAGATGGATTCAATTAAGGCAAAGAACATCAAACAATCCTGCGGACACCTCATTTTAACAGAACATGTCACTTTCTCCTCACTGTCTCCAGGTAACTCCCAATGGCAGTCTAGGCAGGAAGTAAGGTGTACACACAGCGCCTGAACCCCAGCGGGCCTTTCATGTCCTCAGTGACAGCTAAGGGTCCCTTTCTCTTCTATGCCACACTGTGGTGAGGCAGCACGTGACTCCGACTGCTGAATGCAGGATACGCATTAGAGGCACATTTCCACAGAACCAAGTGCTGTTCAGGTTAAATAGGCATTTTCCATCGTCATCTCTGTAGAACGTATTTCTTTATTTGGTCCATGGGACAGTTTCCTTTTTAATCAAAATCTGTCATTTTGTTAAGATAATAAAACAATGAAAATATTTATATCCCCTTTGTCTTCCTAAACATTAGTCATGAGGGGAAGAGGTGTTATGCCTCTGCTAGATCATTTATCCCACAAACATATTTACGGGCTTTCAATCACTGTTTTGAAGGTCACTTCATTCCTAATAAGAATGTATGAATGTCTTCTTACCTCTGACTGTATTTGCAACCATTTACTACCAAATGGAATTCAGATTTGCAATAAGTTTGCCATCTACCTGGTTGATATGAGTATAAATCTACACATAATAGTATACATGCACCGTGTTGACCCAACTGACCTCAATTTTCATCCAAAGTCAAGTGTAAATGTCTAGTTGTTTGATGAGCGATGTTTTCTTTATTCTCTAGCTCCCAGCTATGCAATTTAGTTGACAGCCGTGTTATTCAACCAAGTTATGGTGGACAAAGGAAGGGGTTTATAATTTCACATTATGATAATATTGATACTATAATCTCTATAGTCAGTGGAGAAACTGGAATGTTGGAAACTCTGCAACAGCAACAGGACATCATTCCAACTGCAACTATATATATATATATTCACTTTACCAATTAAACACGGCAATGCATCAAAGACGACTCTCTCTCTCTCTCTCTCTCTCTCTCTTTCTCTCTCTCTCCCGTGGTACCAGACCAGGGTTTGAACTCAAGAGTCTCATGCTTGCTAGACACATGTTCTACCTCTTAAGTCACTCCACCAGTTCCAAGACTTCTTTTGTAGAGATGAAAATCACCATTGGATTTCTTCCCTTACTTTACTATGCTACAAAGTAAAATCCACCCAGCTAGAAGAATGTTTAGGCTGTCATACCATCTTCAGGCCTAGGTACTAGACTCCACTTGAAAGAATGCAAGGAAGCACACTAATGTCAAAATATGAAGCCAATGACTTGTACCTCTGTAACAGAGGGTCTGTGACTTCTAATGCTGAGCCAATGCATCATTTTCAGTGATTTACAGTGGCTCCCAGGAGAGAAGACAATTCTGTAGGCTAAAGTCACTGATTCCCAAAATGGCCTTACTCACATGGCTATTGGCAGAACTCAGCTCTTCAATGCCTGTTGGACCAAGAACCTGAGGCTCTCACTGGCCAGAGGCTTCCCTCACACAGACACAAGAAACAGAGGTTCCTTGTCACATGGACCTCTCCACCTAGCAGCTCACAACTCAAAGGGGAGCAGTGGGCTTCCTTTAGAGCAAGCCAGGGAGTGCAAGAGAGAACAAGCAAAACAGAAGCCACATTCTTTTTGTAACCTAATGCCAGAAATGACATCCCATTGCTTTTGCTATATTGTTTGCTGAAAGGAAGTCACCAGGTCCAGCCTGCACTAAAGGAGTGGGGATCGGGCAAGGGCATGAATGCCAGGAGGTAGTGATCACCAGGGCGGGGCCCTCTTAGAGACTGCCTGCATCTTCCATGCATGCACAACAATAAATGAACAAACACCAACACAGACCATAAAAGAAGAAAAACAGGAAGCAGAAGAGACTCACTTTCTAGAGCTCCTCCACTGGCACACCCCCACAAAGTTCAGCCTTTCAGCTCTTCATACCATGAATATTACAGCATTACTTTTTAAAGCAGCCTTCATATGCCAAAATGTCCTGGATGCTACAGCCAGAATAATCTCTCTAAGTCACACTCTAAACTTACCTTTCCAGTGCAGAAAGCCCTCAGTGGCTCCCTATTTCAGACAAAATCCAGATTTTCAGCCACCGTTCAGTGCATAATTTGCCCCAGGCCTGGCTCCCCTAACCCATCGTCCCCCTAGCCCCCAATTGAAACTCACCATTCCAGGTAAACTGTGCTCAACCCCCAAACCCAGGCTTATGCTCAGCTAGAAGCCTCTGCTGACATCAAAGTTCCCCCTTCCTTAGCAAGACCAGCTCTCACCTTCCCATTATAAATCCTTCTCAATTTCCAAATGTAAAGCAGATTCCATTTGCTCTGTGACACATTTTCTGATCACTCCTAAACCTCCTCCTACGAATCAGCAGAGCCCTGGGAGGCCACAACACTCACTGCAATGGCTCATCGCTCTGTGTGTCATGTCTCCCCAAGAAGTTGGTAAGTTTCCTGCCTTCCTTCTTCCAGACCACCAGACTACAACTCTGTGAGAGCCAGGATGGGTGTCACTTGTCTTCCCCTCCTGAGGGCGGCTAGTCCATGGGAGGCAATAGTGGTTAAAAAAGACGTTAGATGGAAGGCTGCATGGATGGACAGACGGATGGATGGAAATGTCAAGAACAGTGTCCAGCATATCATGAGGGTGATGAATGATAAATATTTGTTAACCCCACCAATCTTTAAGGTGGGAATTCTCCATTCTCCTAGCTACATGGAAACCCCTACGAAGAGAGCAGTGGGAATGGGATTTGTCCCCATATATTGTCACAAACAGTACGGTGAAATGAGCACAAACACGATGAAGGAGGATGAAGGTCCTCCTTCATCGCCCATCCTAACACTGGCTTTGAGCTACAGGGTACCAAGTGCCAGGGTGTTAGACGGCACAGCCAGGGTAGAATTCAGGATAAAGCAACTTCAAGTTAATGCTTCAGCTACGGGGCAAATGAACACTTGGGAAACAGCAATAGTGAGAATTTAAGGGTGCTGGGGAAATAGAGGAAAAATTATTGATTACGGGGTAGGTGTGTCTACATATTTTAAGTCATTACTAGTTAAAAAAAAATTAGAGATGACAGAAGACCTTTTAAGGCCTTTGTTACCTACCCTAGAGACAGGAGGGAAATCTCAAAACACCAAACGTCCAAAATCCAGAGTGAACCTAGCGATCCCTTCCTTTCGAGCTGATCAGGGCAGTTAACCTCACGTGATTTCCCCCAGAAATCCACCTTCTGGCTGTGGGATGCTGCGCTGTCCCGGGCCACCGCCTTTTCCCCGCAGGGCGAGGCGCGGGCATCGCCTTCCGCGCGCGGTGGGTTCGCTCTCCAGCCCGGCGGATTCCGGGCAAAGTCCCCGCAGGGCCGGGTTCTGCCAGCCCGCCACACGCTCGCGCAGGATCTGCCCAGACTGAACCTCGAGTTTTGCAAGCGCGCTGAGATGGGAAGGTAGCTCCTGTCGCCCCCCACTCACCTGCTGTTTAGAACCACTTCCATCTACCCATTGCTTTCAGCTCCTATAGGCATCCGCGGAATCTCCCGGGTCCAAGGTCCACCAGGAGAGGAAAAAGGGTGAAGGGGGTGATGGCTGGGAGACGAGGTCCCAAAGCCCCCTCCCTGGCCTGGGGGTAAGCGGTGCAAACCTGTTCGGCTCCGCCCCACTAAGTTGCCGGGATTCCCCACGGGGGGTACCTGGCCGTGGGAGACAGAACCCCGGGGAGGGAGGGACACGGTGCATGCGAAACTTTGGGTGCTCCAGCTGCAACTCTGCGGGAAAGAGGAGCTCTCCTTCGACCCCGAGTCCGGGCCGGTTGTTCCGGCCTGACCTCGGGAGCCGAGGCAGGCGAGGGTGGTGGCGGCAGCATCTCCGCCCTGGCGGCTGCAGGCTCCGGACTCCGGACTCCGGGCTCCGGGCTCCGGGCTCCGGGTTCCGGCTCCGGCTCCGGCTCGCTGGCTGGCTCAGCGGCACGGCCCCTCCCCTGGCTTGCGTTCGGCGGGCGCGGGCGGCAGGCGCCTCTATGGCGCCCCCAGCGGCCGCGCGCCGCAAGCACAGCCGAGCCGAGTCGGGCCGGGCGCCGAGCGGCGGCCCCTCCTCCTCCCTCCTCCGCCTCCCTCCCTCCCTCCCCCTTTCAGAACATTCAATGTCGGAACGTTCCGAAGATGACGTCGGAGCGTTCTCGAATCCCGTGTCTCTCGGCTGCTGCTGCCGAAGGAACAGGGAAAAAGCAACAAGAAGGAAGAGCAATGGCGACACTGGATCGCAAAGTGCCCAGTCCGGAGGCGTTTCTGGGCAAACCCTGGTCCTCCTGGATCGACGCCGCCAAATTACACTGCTCCGACAGTAAGAACCCCACCGCCTCCTCCTCCTTTTATTATCCTGTAACCTTTCCATTCACCTAGAGCCACTGGGAAAAAGTGTGTGTGTGAGAGAGAGAGTGGCCCCCGGTGTCCTCCATGCTTCTCCCTCTCTCTAAATAAATACACACAGAGACAGATCATCAGTGCACAGAGAGAGGCCCGGCTGCCAGGGCTGTCTGTCTGTCTGTCTGTCTGTGCCCGGCTCCCCGTGGCAGCCTGCGGGGTGGGCTTTCGCAGCCCCACGCTGTTATCTGTTTAAAAGGCTACTCTGTTGCTGCTTGCATAGTTTTTTTTTTTTTTTTTTTTTTGGTACCTATCTGGGCCAGGTAGATGTAAACCCAGACTTGGGTAGAAAATGTTGCATTGTCAATTTTTGAAAGATTTTCATTTACAGTATTTATATCGATCTGTTTGCAAATAAACACTCTCCCTCCCCCCTTGACTTTGGCTTTTCCCCCCCTTTTTTCCTCATTTTCTTTTTTCCTTTTCTTTTTCATCTGCAGATGTAGATTTAGAAGAGGCTGGAAAAGAGGGTGGAAAAAGCAGGGAGGTTATGAGGCTTAATAAAGAAGGTAAGTGGAGCTACTGGCGTTTTAGTGTTAGCATGTGTGGCAGAATCTTCACAGGATTTGGAATATAATGTGAATTGTTCTGCTGGGTACAGAGTGACTAAGGCTTGTCAAAAATTGAGCACACCCAGGTGACTGCTTCATGTTAACTTCTTTCAAAGTATAAATACAACTGGTGGGGGGGGCGGGGGGAGAAGTTTACTGCACTTCAGTCGGCATCCAGGCGACAACCTCCTGATGCATAGCTACCATTCTCCTTTGGAACATCATTGGCCATGGGGGGGGGTGAGATCCTTTTGATGAGGAATGGGGCTCCTTTCATAAGCATTCAGGCCTTCCTTGTGGATAGGCGCCCAACAGTTTTCATGAAGCCCACGTGATCAACAGCCACTTTTCCATTCTCCACTGAAAACCATGGTACGGGGCAAAGCTTTGCAGCAAGGGACCTTTGGACCACTTGGTGTTCCATCGCAGATTGTTATGGGGTGACCAGGGGGGCATCTGTGTGTAGAGCCAGTCCCTCCCCTCACCCTCCCAGCAGTCCATCCCACCATCTCTATTTTCCCAGCATGGAAATATGGTGCCTGAAATGGGACACAGATCATCCCAGATCTGGACATTGAGAGTGAAACCACAGCCTGCTGGAGCTGGGCATGGAACACACATGGTTGTCATAAATAAATCATATACTGGTCATGTTTGCAAGCCTGCAATATGTAACTCTGGCCCATGACTTCAAACAGAGCAACTTGGGAGGCCACTTTCTGCTGAATGAATGGGTGGGTTCATTTGAATGCACTGAAGTCTTGTGGACATAAGTGACTGAAATTGGGGGTGGGAGGAAGGCACCAAGGGGCACAAGAGGTTGGTGAAGGTGTTAAAAAAAAAAAAAGGTCAGACATAACTAGGCCACAGGAGCCTTGCTCATCCAAAATGAATGGGGAAAAGTCCATTAGACTTCAAAGAATGGTCTTCCCTCATGAAAGGGGATGTCTCCCTAAAAGGCACCTGATGTTTGCTTGGAAGGATGGAAAAAGATGGAACTTAGTTTGCAGATTGACACCTAAGACAGTTGGATTTCTGTGCCCAATTATTTCCTGACCATCCAGTGAGGGGAGAATTTGTGCTTCCAAAAAAATAACGTGGAGGTTAAAATGCGTGCATATTCAAGGATGGCTCTCTAGCATAGTGTTTCTGCTAATGAAGCACTTTGGGAACAAAACATTACTCTAAAGATGTTTGCCTCTAAATGTCTTCGTGTGATCTTGACATGTGTATTTAGGATGCACGTGGGAACAATGTCAAGTGGACTTCTTACAAGTGGCAGCTTATTTGTGCTAAATGTCCATGTGTGTCAGCAGTGGGAAGAATCCCCAGAGGTTGTTTTTCTTCACAGACAAACTCTTGAGATGTTTAAAGGCTTATAGGATGGAGTTATCAGATCCGGGCAGTGTTTCCAAGAAAGGTGATGAGATCGTGAAAACCTTTGAGCTAAAGTTCAGCAAAGGTCACTGTGTGGCACAGGATTGGCACCTTGCAGGTCTGTCTGAGTGGTGGATTGTGACTATGATATACAAAATTCATATTCTTTCCCTTCCTCCCCCCACTTCTATTTCAAAAGATTCTTGTTCTCAGATTCACTTTGCCTCATGAGAAATGGACTCTTTTAAGGAAAAAATGAAAAGCTGTCTTTTCCTCAGAAGTCAGAAATGGTACACCCTACTTATTACATCCTTTGTCCTGTAAAGGTACAAAGATTGAGCTCCTAATTATATACATTTGCGTTGAGGACCCCCACTGTTCAGAGCTACATGTGATTGCTGACTCGGTCCAAATCAAATTGGCCATGTGTGGGCTTGTTCATAGGCCTGTGGGAGTGGATTTGGGTGAACGGTGCTGATAGTCTTTCTGGGGTCTGCACCCAGTTTTCTTTATAGATAAAAAATGGAGATGCTAAATACATATCCCGACTGTGAGGAATTTAAGGATGGAGCAGAGACTGTCTGTCATGGTGCTTGGTTGCCTTGGTTTTGCCATGGCCTCCTTGTCAAAATTGGCATGGGGAAGGGGTCTTAGGGTGGGCACAGGTTTGTGGATGGATCACTGCAGGACACAAAGTGGCCTGTGTGTGACTCATGTGTGTCTGTGTGTATGAACATACATGAACTGACCATGATTTACTGTTGGCAATAAGCAGATCTTGAGAAGATGTTTGGCTTTTAAATGATAATGAGTGAATAAAATAACATTTAGGAATTCTGGTTGAGAAATGGAGGGACATAATTTCAAAAGCAAAGTATACATAATATAAAATGTACCATTTTAATTATGTCCGAGTGTACATTTCAGTCACATTGATACATTCACGCTATTGTACAATCATCATCACTCTCCATTTCCTAACTTTTTCATCATCTCAACGAGAATCTCTACCCATTGTAGCAAAACTTCTCATTTCCTTCTCCCCTCAGCCCTGGTCTCCTCTAGTCTACCATTGGACTCTATGAAGTTGCCTATTCTAGATACCTCATATAAGTGGACTCATACAATATTTTTCCTTTTGTTTCTGGCTTACTTCATTGAGCACAGTGTTTTCAAGTTTCACTCATGTTGAAGCATGTATTAGTATTTCATTCCTTTTCAAAGCTGAATAATATTCCATTGTGTATATACACATATAATATGTATATGCACACATGTATGTATATGTATGTATACGCTATATTTTATTTATCCTCTCATCTATTGATAGACTTTTGGGTTGTCTCCATCTTTTGACTGTCATGAATAATGCTGCAGAGAACATTAGTGTGATGCAATATTTTTTATAGATTAAGCTATAGTGTAGCCACAGTTTCAGAAGACATAGCAATCACTTGCATGCAGTCTTTTAAAATTATCTGATGAGTATGCCACAGATCCTGCCCCATCCCTCATCATGTTAACCTTTCTTTGTCTCAGTTCTCCACCTATATCGAGTATGAAACATTAACTGAATGCTTTGAGAGCACCACAATAAAGCCTTCTCCTCAATGTTTTTCCATCCAAAGTCAGCAAAAACTACAGGCAAAAAGAATTTAGCAAATCTATTTGAACCTTTCCAAATCACCACCTGGGTCATGAGCCATTGCTAATTCCATGCTGGGATGAGCTTGTAAAGGTCAGGCCCGAGAAGCCTTGGCCATGGAGCGCGAGCTCGGGGCTGGCTTCCTGAGCTCTGGACATGCCCTGGAGACCAGGCCCCTTCTCTGGGTGGGTCTAAATGTCCCAAGACTTCTGAACCTAAACTTCTCTGTTGAATGCACTGTCCTTTAGATGCAGTTATACCAGACAAGCTGTTTCCAAAAAAACTTGAAGAAAAAAATCTGAGGCTGATGGAGAGGCTCAAGTGGTAGAGCCCCTGCCTAGCAAGCGTGAGGCCCTGGGTTTAAACCCCAGGACTGCAAAAAAAAAAAATCTCATATTAAAAAATACCTAGAATTATGTTAGCAATAGTGAGAATAACTGGGTATATTTTCTCAACTTTTTTACTTCTTAGTGGCAAAAATCACACCTCATACCCAAGCACAGGTATGAATAGTTGTGAATGGTTTGTGGCCTTCAGTCCAAAACCCAGTTTAACGTGTTCCCCTAGTGGTGAGTGTGCTGACCTCAGTCAGTGTGGATCAGACACGCTGTCCGCTTTCCTAAGGGGAAGGTCTTAGAAACCTTACTAGCCTAACTGATGACAGAACTATGTAAATAGAAATTTCCAAGGTAGGCCCTTCTGCTATCTAACCTGCTTAAGTAAGTTTCTCTCTTCAGCTTTTTTCCAGCTAATTGGGAAAAACCTCTTCTGTGATTTAGGAAGTTGTTCCTCTATATATTTTTTTTGGTAGGACTGAGGATTTGAACTCAGGGCTTTACGCTTGCAAAGCAGGCACTCTACCACTTGAACCACACCTCCAGACCATTTTGCTCTAGTTATTTTGGATATGAGGCGTTCCAAACTCTTTGCCCAGGCTGGCCTTGAACTGTGATCCTCCAATCTCAGCCTCCCAAGTAGCTAGGATTATAGATGTGAGCCACTAGCAGTAGCAATTTTTTTTTTTCTTTTCAGAATTCAGTTCCTTACCTATAAAGCAGAGATAATAACAGGGTTGCTGTGAGGATTAAGTAAGATAATATAAAAGGCTTTGCATATAGTATGTGCTAATGAATGTTTGCTTTTATTCTTTTTAATTTCAGTTATGATTGTGGCCATCATTTATTAATGAAGCTAGTTCTAGAAAACTTTATTATTCTAATTAGTTTGGATTTTTAACTAATCTCCAATGAAGGGAAAAGATATACTGTATCAGGAGCTTCATTTATAGGGTCAAACATTTTATCATAATTTTATAAAGCTAATGATTGTTTAAAAAAAAACAATTTCTGTGGATATCAGTGTTTTTAATGGAGTGCACCTAATATGTGGTCATTGATAGTTTTGTCAAGAGCTGAAGAAAAACACTTAGGCACTTCATGGCTTCTGGCTAAGAAGACTTTATACAAAGCTTTTTTGCTGGAGACCCAGAGGTCTAAAAAATAGTTTTCTTAAGTGACTGATTCATTGTTTTGTTTTATTGTTGAGAAAAATAAGTCATCAGTAGATCCTTGTTTGGGATCCTCAGAAGCCTGCACTTGTGTCTTTGGGCACTCGTCTGTGTCTTAAGGTTCCTGTGTATTTTGACTTGATGTAGGTAAATGTGTGGAATGCTTCCATTAAAAACTGGAGCCAGTGAGCTGTTGCTGTGACTGTCAGAGTTTCCTGTTCCCTGAGATGTTGATGGGACTGGGCTGGAGAATAGCAAGGATCAGGAGACATGGGGACACATTCTACCTAGGTTTAGGGGTCTTACAGTTGTGACTGGGTGGGAGTAAATCGGAAGGAAAAAATGGCAACTGACCTGGTAAGGATGAAGTATTTATACAACCCAAGCCAGGGAAGCCAGAGACAAGCGTGAAGATTTATGGGAAGCTCC